AGTTACCTAGTTATTTAGGTGGACTTGAGGTTCAAACCCAGTTTTGTCTGACTCCAAATCTTTTGTTCCTTCCTACTTTCCCATGCACTTTTCTCAGTGCACTGAGAAATATTCAGAAGATAACTAGACTGATGAAAGATGTAGAAATCTTATGCTATAGAGGAAAAGTCCAGGAAATGGTGGCTGTTTAGCTAGCTCTCCATCAAACATCAAAATATATTCCAGAAGATTAAAGATTAAATGACTAAAAATTAAACTATGGCTTGCTACAGCAAAACATGAGTAATTTATTAAATATATCAGAGAGAGAAAGATATAATAAAAAATTCAAAAGCCAAAAAGGAAATAAAATAATAAACGAGACTATACAAAACATTTAAAATTCTCTATGGTATGCAATACATATAAGGAAAAAGTTAAAATACAACAATACAAATAACAAACCAATAATATTTGCAATAGTTATCTAAGAGAGAACACTAATATTCTTAATATGCAGATACATTTTTAAAAAAGCAAACTATCAGCCAGGCACAGTGGCTCACGCCTATTAATCCTAGCACTTTGGGAGGCCAAGGTGAAAGGATTGCATGAGCTCATAGGTTCAAGACCAGCCTGGGCAACTTGGCAAGATCTCATCTCTACAATAAATAAAAAAATTAGCTGGGTGCAGTGGTGCGTGCCTGTAGTTCCAACTACTTGGAAGACTGAGGTGGAAGGATCACCTGAACCCAGCAGGTCAAGGCTGCGGTGGCTATCAGCATGCCACTGCATTCCAGTCTGGGCAACAGAGTGGGACTCCAACTCAAAAAATAAAATAAAATAAAAAAATTAAAAGGCAAACAATCTAAACTAAAAATAGGCAATACAAATGAAAAGACATTTTATGTAAAAAAAATTCAAATAACTTATTAACATATAAGATGTTTAGCCTTATCATTGAAGAAATGTAAAATTTAAAAATACAATTATTTATCTATCAGAATGAAAGAGGTCAAGTGTTGAGGTATATGTGACTATTATAGGAGTGTAAGAACACTGAAAACTACAAATTATTTGTGGGGGTAAAAATTAATATGACATTTTTAGAGACAATTTGGCAATGGCTATCAAAATTTAACTCACACCCTTTATCCAACAATCAACTGTTAAATTATATTTATTATAGCATTGTTTATAATAGCAAAATACTGAAGCAACCTAGGTGTCCACCAACCATGCCCTGTAAAATAAGTTGTTTTACTTTGAATAATAAAATGCTCATCACTACTGAAGAGAATGATATTAATATGTAGAAATATGTGAATTAAGAAATCTTTCTAAGCTATATTAGTGGAAAAAATCAAGGTATAAAACAATATGTACAGTATGATCATATTTGTATAAAATTTTAAAATTATACATTTTATAAACCAGTTTATATTCATAACAAAAATAATTGGTATCATATATAAGAAGCCATTAACATGATTAGCTTTGGAGAGAATAATAGGAGGTTGGAAGAGCCTTTTCTTTTATGTCTTTTTATACTGTTTTAATTATAACATATGTTTATTATGTGCATATATTATTTTTATCAACCACATTATCTGGACAATAAGATTATGGCCTGTTTTTGTTTTCTTCTTTATTAGTTTCTATATGTTTAGTGTGTATAATCATTTTTAAAATGTGCAATAGCAAACTAAAGGAAACAAATAATACATATACCCTTTGACCTGAGAAGTTAGTTTTCAGGGACGTTATCCTTCAAAAATCACTTTTGTAAGTGTTTGTAGTAGCAAAAAACTGGAAACAACTTAAACCACATCAATGGGAATCTCACTGAAAACTACTGGGCATATCCAAACTATGAAATACTAGACTTTTATTTAAATGGTAGAATTATATGAGCTGATATGATAGGAAAGACGATATATCTTTAAATGAAAAGCAAAACAAAAGCAAGTATAGAATCGCATATCTGATATGATCTATTAAGTTAAATGAAAAGGCAATAATATAGTAAAATTTATATGTAGAGAGCAAGAGAAATAGAGTTAAAGTCATGTGCTTGTATGTACATAGAGTTATTTTTTAAAAAATGTATACACAAAAGTGGATGCCTCTGGAAATGGAGATGGGGAGGGAACTTTTACCTTTTCCTTTTCTAACTTTCTGAAACAGAATTTATTTACCATAATCATATATTATTTTTTTAATGAGAAATTAACCTTAATTATTTGACAAGTGAAGAAATTATTTGGCATGCAAATTTTGTGCAATGCAGCTTCCTGTAGGCAGGGTCCTGGATCACAATACTTTTCCTGTCTCTTCTGGCTGGCAAAATCAGACTTCTGACTCATCAGTAGCCTAGACAGCCTCTGAAATGACTGTCATCATCCAAGGAGTAGATCTGGAATTTTATAGTTTAAGAGGGCTTTAGACTCATAGCATATTAATCCCTTCCCTCTGAAGTGGGAGAAAATTGAGGCTCAGAGAGGTAGTATGACAATTAGCTAGTGAGTGGCAGAACCAGGCCAGGCCTAGCTCAATGGACTTCCCAATGTTACTATGTAGTCAAAGCTAGAGTAAAGAGTTCACCAGAACAGAAAGCCAGAGAACACCTACCACTAGGGAATGAAGAACCTATTCAGTAAATGGTGCTGGGAAAACTGGCTGACCACATGCAGAAGATTGAAACAGGACCCCTATCTATCCCCATATATGAAAATTAACTCTAAATGGATCAGGGACCTAAATGTAAAACCTCAAACCATAAGAACCTTAGAAAAGGAAGGACATACCCTCATGGAAATTGGAACTGGCATCCAATTCCTGAACAAAACCCGAAACCCACAGGCCATAAGAGATAAGATAGACAAGTGGGAGCTCATAAAACCAACAAGCTGCTGCAAAGCCAAATACACCATCAAGAGAGCAGGGAGACAGCCCACAGACTGGGAAAAAGTATTTGCCAACTCCAGGTCTGACAAAGGCTTAACATCTTGGATTTACCCTATTATAAAATGGGCAAAAGATATGAACAGACACTTCTCAAAGGAAGACATCCGAGCAGCCAACAGAGACATGAAGAAATGTTCAACCTCACTAATCATCAGGGAGATGCAAATCAAAACCACACTG